CTCAGAAGCCACTGTGCCCGCCCCCCCCCCAGCCCCCATGAAGCAGGAGGAACCAACACTCAGAGCAATGGGGACACCTCCAAGTGACCTCTCCTCTCCCCAGAACCCAGCCATCGCCCGCTGGGGCCAGTGATAACAATGCCAGGGTGGGTTGGCCGGGCTGGAGCAGCTCCGGTGGTGCCTGGCACAGGTGCACCGTTCCCCCACACACCCCCTCCCCCCCCACCACCACCAGCGCTCACATGGGGCGAGAAGGAAGTCAGCCTGGCTACAACGACAGGATCACCTCAAGACTTAACTGAACCCCACAGCTGGGCTTCTCGTCTGTCTCCCTGCTCTGCAGACATCCTGCCCCTTCTGAAAAGACTTCCTGATGGTCTTCTCACCCATTCCGGGCCTTTTGGAGGGACAGGGGATGGGGAAGGGGCAGCCCATTGGGCCTGTGGGAAAAGAAGGCCAAAAAGGTGAGGACCGCTTGAGGTTGCAGAGAGGGGGAGAGAACCCTGCAAAGTAATCACAGGAACTGGTGACACATATTCCCTGTACACTCACCGCAGCCAGGCACCGTTCCAGACTCTTCTGTGCATTCACTCCAGCACTCTGTCCCAGCCGCCTCTGTCCTTGGTATCTGATGGTGCAGACAGACCTGGTCAGAAACACGCCCAGAAAGACCTGTCAGATCCACCGCAGTGGATCGCAGCGGGTCTCTTACACAAACTCACTGTGGGGGAGCTGGATTTCTGTTGAGGGGTCTGCTCTAGCCTGTGCCTTCTGCCCAGCCTCTTTCCCCATGACCCCGCCTGCAGCTCCTTAGCTCTGTAAGGACCCTGACCCCCCAGATTTGGCTCCTTTCCCCTTTCAAGCCTGAGGAGTTGCCCCTCAAGGCCCCCTTCCTCCCAGGTGCTCCACTCTCTGGACTTTCCTTCAGCCCCCAGGCCCCCTCTCTGGTCCTTCAGGACCCACCCCTTCTCCCCTCCACCGTGGGGGAGGGGAAGGGGTACTCTTTTGTTCCTCAGTATTGTCACTTGGCACCTGCTATTTGTTTTGTGTTGTTTTTTTGTAAGATTTATTTAATTTATTTATGCATACAAGGGCTGGCTGGCATGTAGGCCAGGGGGTGCCCTGTTATTTGTCCCTGCTCTATGGGGGCTGCGAGCCCAAGATGACACTAAAGAAGAGGCGGGCCTCCCCCCATCTCCCCCTCCCCCCCCCCACACACACACAAGCCCTGACTTTTCTCTGCGATGCTGACATCACTGGCAGGGCCAGTGTTTGTTTAACTAAAGATCAAGTCCTCACCTTCCCTGTGCCCCTCTCCCTTTCTGGTTCTCCCTTTCACCTTCCTTGAAGCCCCTGAACTCTGGGGAGCCCCTAACTCTGGGGAGCCCCTGAACTCTGGGATAAACCTGGGAAGCCCATCTAGGGGCGGTGCCTCCCCACCTGCCTCACCCTCTTCTGTGCGCCCATCCCCCTACCTCCTCCCAGGCCTGAAGAACTGGCTGGGGATGAAGTAACCTCCCTCCTAAGCCCCACCCCCCTCAACTCCTGTTCTTGGAATTAGGAAGTAAGACCTGGGCACTTTGCACCAGGAGCCGGGCACCTTCAAGGCTGCAGGTTTTCCTCTCTGTCCATCACTTTGGCAAACCCCAGAGCAAGAGGCAGAGCCCAAGCAGACCCTGGAGAGGGAAACCGGGCCCGGCAGCTGACCCACAGGCCCCCCCCTGGCCGCTCAGGGACACCCCTGAAAGATCTCGGGCCCTTCCGGCGGGCACACATAAGCTGGTTCAGGTCCCCCCAACAGCTCCATCTAAGACTCCACTTTTCCACCAAAATGAAAGGAGAAGCCGCTCCGTCCCCAAGTTCCCTTCTGGACTAGGTCTCAGTCCAGCCAACTGCCGCTTCTCCTTTGAGAGTGGGGTACAGCCTCAGGAATGGGGAGCCCCATGGCCTTTTCCTCCTCAGCCTAATTTCTGGAATGAAATGGGTAGAGTGGGGGGTGGGAGGAGGGAATGGAGTCGAGTTCGTGTCCAGCATAGCAAGGAGGTGACTTCTCTGTTGGCGGGGGTTTTGGGGGGCAGCTGGACTAGAGCCCCCTGTGGGAAGCTTGCCCACGGGACTGAACCAGTTCTCAGAGCAGTTTCTACCAACATCACCCCCTTTCCTCCCTCCGGTCCCTGGAAATGACAGTCAAGAGCAACAGAGCTGGGGCTGGCATGCAGCTGGAGAGGGGAAACTAGGGAGAACACAAAGCAGACAGACAGCAGGGCCGAGGGGGCAGGGAGCTTTCACAGAGGAGGGGGCGCAGGCTGGGAGGAGGGAGCTGAGGAGGAGGAGGACGGAGGCCCTCTGTGGGTGTGAAGGATGGGCATGTCTGGAGAAGCCAGGAAGTCTCAGGTTCCCTGAGAAGGAAAGTATAGACTCCCAGAGGCTCATTTTCTGGGGGGTGCCAGTGGTGCAGGGGGACCCGGATCACAAAGTCCACCAGAGAAGCCAGAGAAGCACAAGCCTACCAAAACAAGGAGTTTGGGCTCAATACTGCTGGAAATGAGAACGCTGAGGCTCCAGGGCTTGGGGTGTAGGCTGGGGCCGGGAGGGGTATCGGACTCGTTCACAGCTTAATGCAATAGCCCAGGTGTGAGATAAGACCGAAGGGGGCGGGGCAGGAGAGAGGCTGGGAGGAAACAGCAGTGAGCTTCAAGAACCGAATGTGGAGGCCAGTAGAAGCCAGGGGAGTGGAGGGCAGGGGCAGGGGTGGGATGGGCTGGGCCGGTGTGACAGGGAGAAAGGTCCCATGAGGAATGAGTTCTGCAGGGGGAGCAGGTTCAGGAGGAGAGCTGTGAGCAGCACCCCAATGGAACTCAGAGCCTCAGGAAGCAATCTGGGAAGATGTCTCAGAGCCAACCTTCAGCCCATTGGCACCAAGATCTCACATCACCCCTTTTTCCAAGGAGCTCCCCCCTTCTGGTTCAACCACCCTTGAAAATGGTAGACCTCACTTTGAAAGTGGTCTGTGGGTAGGCTCCCCACACCATAGTTCTCTCTCTGAAGCCATACTGGATCTCTGGTCTCCCCCACCTGGGGTCACATTCCTCACTCATTGCTCCCATAGGCCTGTCGGTCAACCGTGGAAGCCAGACTCTTCTAGAACCCCCAAGAGGATGGGGACGGTGGTGGGGGGGACCCTTCCTCCCTGGAGGGTGAAGGGTTGGAAGCCTTGGTATTGTCTCTCCTAAGAGGAAGGAAGCTCCCTCCCATGTTAATAATAGTAATCATCGCCGTTACCACTTGTGGTACCACTTCAGGTCAGACACTTCACGCTCATGATCTCATCTAATCCTCACAGCAGCCACTTGCCACGCTATTATCCCCACTTACAGATGAAGAAACTGAATCTTGAACCCAGACCATTCCGCCTCAAACCTCATGCTGTTTTCCTTCACCACACATCTCTCTTTTCTCCCACAGAAATGTCTTGCATGCCACGGCTCTTACACATTTCTGCTCAGGTCTTCTCCAAAACACCATTTATTGATTCACTCAGCAAGCATGTGTGGAGTACTCCTGAGCACCAAGCCAGGGGTTGGCTATGACACCATTGGCAAGCCCAGTGCCCCCCGGCCTTCCAGTGAGGGGTGTTCCCACAGTGACCAGGTGTCCAGCCCTTGTGTGCAGGTCCTGGTGGACCGCAGAGCCCCAAGACCCAATGAATGGAATGCACCAGCCTGACCTTCAGGGACTTAACAAAGGGCATTTGTATCATTCTTCACATTTTACACAGCCCTTTCTTGTCCATTCACTCATTTGATCCTGGCAACAAAGCTGTGAGGTGGACATCTCCCCCCGTCACCCCCCCACCCCCATTTTTCTGGCAAGGATGCTGAGAGGTCCCGCTCGGGTCATGTCTCAGGGAGCCGGGACAACAGCCCTCAGCCACGAAGCGTGTCCTTCCCGCAAGCTGGCTGCTGCCCTGATCATGCCCTGGGGTCTCCCATTGGAAGTTGGGGGCATCCTCGTGTGGTTTCTCACTTTCAACCCCACCTCAGATCTTTGACCAAACTGGCCATGCCCCCCTACCCCCCACCCACCCCCCAGCCCTCCTCCTAAGCCTGTGCCATCTTTTTCCCTCTCTCTAGGTCCCCAAGGCCCTCCAGGCGGGCTTTCCCAGGTCTGGGGGATGGGAGGCAGGAGGGGGGCCGTGACTGGAGGAGGGAGGGGGAAAGTTTCCTTCAGGGAGCTCCTCTGGGCCTCAGGGGCCCTGGCACTGGGCTCAACCCAGCTCAGCTCCTGGAACGTCAGCAAGATTGCGCAAAAGGCAAGGAGGAGAGAAACAGCCGTACACAAGGGTGGGGGAAAGGTTAGGCACAGGAAGCCGTGGGAGAGCCAGCGCGGCCCGCCATCCCGACTTCTTTCCCCAAACACACCAGTGTCCCCCCTGGGGATGCGTGTCGGTGAAGTCTGAGGCGTCCTGGTCAAGAAGGGCCCTCCCGAGCCGCCTCCGCCATCCCCGCCTCCGGGCAGGCTGCTTTCTCTGTCTCTTCCAAGCTGACTGGCTGAATGGTATGAGCCTTTCTGCCAGGGAAACCGAGGTCTAGGGAGGGAGAGAAGCTCTTGGGGGCCCCTGGGGCGGGAAGTGGGGACAGGGAGGGGAAGAGCATGAGCAGGCGGGATGCCAGCCGTGACTCCTACCTCTGTCCCCCACCTCCCCTCTGCCTGGTGTTCGGCGGGGGTGATGGTGATGTCACAGGTGTGGAGTGCCAGCCACGTGCTGGGCGCCAAGCAAAACAGCCAGGGCGAGTGCGTGCATCATCAGTGCCTGGGAAGGAAGGCCACCAAAAGAAGTGAGTCTGGTGGAAAGACTTGAACGAGGGAAGGGAGGCACCTGCCGGGTGGGCGGGGAGGCCCAGGATAAAGCCGCACTGCAGTGGACGCCGTGGGCACTGGAAGGGACATGCCCCTCAGCCTGCCCTGCTCTGCTCCCAAAGCTCGTAAATGCCCCAGACATGAGCCAGCCCAGGCCCCGCTACGTGGTAGACAGAGCTGCGTACTCTCTCACCCTCTTCGATGATGAGTTGGAGAAGAAGGACCGGACGTACCCACTGGGAGAAAGACTTCGCAGTGCCTTCAGGTAACGTGGCCCAGAGCCAGACCCCTCCCGCTCTGCTCCCCCCACAGTGCCCTGCCTGTGCCAGAGCACGGCCCTGCACCAGGGTCCCCAACACCAGGCTTGGAGAAGCCCCTGGGTGGGGGGAAACCCTACAACCTCAACTGTCCTGAGATACCCTCTCCACCCCCCCACTCCCCAGCGAAGACGCTAAGAGGAGCAAAGACCCCCCCCCACCAAAGCCTCTGAAAGGTTGCAGGTTGCCCCATCCTCTGCACGAAGCCTCGCCATATTCTTAGTCCATTTAAAACTCCCCTGGATCCTTGAGGGGGCTGAGCTGGACCTGTTGCAACCTGGGGTGTGAGGTGCAACATTGCCCCTACTTCTGTGTCCTGCTCCCTCCTTCAGATTCTGAAGCCACCACCACCATGCCCCTGTCCTCTTTCCCTCCTGACATGCCTTCCTTCTCCCGGGCCAGGAGTGTGCACAGCTGGCCCCTAAACTCCTGGGCACTCTTACAGGGGCCCGACCAGAATGGGGTCCCACTAGCCCCCAGACTCTCTCAATCTGCTCTCAGGTGTCTGGGCCTGGAGTAGGGAGAGAAGCGTGGCCTCTAGGGAAGGGGGCTACTCCAGGCGATCTAGAGCCAACTGCAGGAGCCTGGGGCCTTCATCTTCCCCCTTCCCAGTCTGCTGGCAGACTTCGCTAAGGCCGGCTGTGGGCTGGCTCTCGCTTGCTCACTCCCCTGGGGAAACAGCTGATTCAGTTACCTGGATTGAGGTCACTGGCAGTGGCTGAAGTGGCGATGCAGGTGGGACTGGTTCAGGCCGGGGAATCACCCACTTGAGTCTTTGCTAAAAGTCTCAGCCCAGCCCCACCTCTCCTGTGAGGCTCCATCTCTGTCCAGCAACAGTAAGACGCTGAGTGTCTGGCATCCAGGCCCTGTTCCCATACAGTGCCCCTGAAACAGGTGGCTTCTGCCGCCTTTGTGCTCGAGGAGTTTAATTCTGGGCTACTTCTGTGCTGGAGAGATGAGTGTACCTGCTATTAGCCCGAGAGGTTAGGTCTTGAGAACTAGAAAGTGCTATAGGGAACAAACAACTCCCATGAGGCCGGCACGGGAGCCTTGAACAGTGCCTGGTACACAGACAGTGCTCCAGTAAGTATTAGTATAATGAATGAATGGATCAAGAAGCTAATCCTTCTTCTCACTTCCCTCTTGGCCTCTGGAACCTCTGGAGAGATGCCTGGCATCTGCTTCCAGCTCTGCTGTCTGGCTTCAGAATGCTGCGTCCAACATATGGCAAGCTTGCAAGGAAAGGCTGGGCTGGTCCAAGCCCTCAGCGAGTTGTTTTTCTTCCCCTAGCCAGGTCTCTATGCATGGGGCCAGCGCTCCCTGCCACAGGCTGAGCTGATGGAGTTCCTGCCGGGCAGGTTCTCTTAGGACAAGACTTTAGTTACTTCCCGTCCGCCCCACTCACTGTCCACCATCCAAGGGAGGAAGAGGTTCCAGCCCACTCCAGAGAGAGCAGGGGGTCCGATGAGGATGGGAATGCCTTTCCATGGGGTGTTAGCTGGAACAGCAAATCTGGGTACAAAGCATTGCCTTGTGTAGCTTTCAGTCTTGGGTGACATCCAGGGGACCCAGTGTCAGGGAAACTGTTGTTGAGCAACAGCAAAGAGCAGAGATCGGTGGTAGACAGGAAAGGGTGCCTAATCAGGGCAGCCAGTGAATCACCAGATAGGCCCTGAGTATTTGAACTCCCCCAACTGGGAGAAGAAAAGCAAATGCCTCCCACCTCTTTCGAGTCATCAACCCACTGGTGATCACCCTCAAGTGTGTGGGTAACACTTGTTACTATTGCTGCTCAGTTTCTATGAAAGGACCTCGAGGTGTTCAACAAACAGGAAAGAGATCAACTCTCCCCACCCTGATTGGCCAACAAACAGCTCAGCTCCCTCAATCTTCCCTCCCAAAATGACTTAACAGGGGGACGAGCCCTGGGGTTGGAGCGGACTCACGACGGACATGGCGTGTGGGCAGAGGCAGCTGCAGGAAGTTGTAAAACAAAGAGCAGCGGCCCCCACTCAGGCTGTGTTCAGGAGAGCCCAACCTGTCACTTATTCATTCATTCATTCATTCAACACTTATTCACTAAACACCCAGTGTAATGTGCAGAGCGTGCAAAGGTGAACAAGAGTCAGACTGCTCACCTCAGTGGGCTTTGCTGTCTACCGGGAGAGAGGGATAGCAAGCAAGGGTTTACAGGTGCACACGGTACAGGAGGCCAGATGAGGAGAGGCAGGCCTGCGACACATCAGGCAGGAGAAAGGCCATCGAGATGGGCCTGGGCTTGACCCCCCGGAAGCTGAAGCCACCACAAAACCCAAACCTTCGTCAAGTCTTGGAGACTTCCCAGATAAGCAGCCACCAGCCGGGAGACCCACAGCTAACGGCCCGAGGTCCCAAGAGCCAATCTCTGCTTTTTCTTCTCTTCTTCTCAGTAGCCTGGCGCACCACACAGTGTGGGCGCCTCTGAATTTCAAATGTATTTGAGTGAATGAGTGAGTGAATAAGTAAATGAATAGATGGATGGGTGAAGGGCCAGGGCAAAGATAGGATTTTCCTCCCCAACCTGGCGTGTCCAGGCCATGCAGTCCTAACGGAGAGTCTCCCCTTTGCCCAACAGATGTTCCGCCACCAAGGTCAAAGCCGTGGTGTTTGGGCTGCTGCCTGTGCTCTCCTGGCTCCCCAAGTATAAGATCAAAGACTACATCGTCCCCGACCTCCTTGGCGGACTCAGCGGTGGCTCCATCCAGGTCCCGCAAGGTGAAGAGAACCCCTCCGCCAGGCCCGGCTGCTGCCCCCCAAACCCGCTGTGACCTCAGGAGCCCAGCGCACCCTGAGCCCCAGTCTCTGTCTCCGCAGGCATGGCCTTCGCTCTGCTGGCTAACCTTCCCGCCGTCAACGGCCTCTACTCCTCCTTCTTCCCGCTCCTGACCTACTTCTTCCTGGGGGGCATACACCAGATGGTGCCAGGTAAGCTGTCCCCTCTCAGAGGGCAGGATGACCTGGACCTTGGGTCTGACAAGAGGGGTTCAGCTGATTTTCTCTGGGTGCTCTGAGATGTGCTGGTCAGAACTGGAGGCCGCTTCCCTGTGGGTGCCAGTCTCTGTGACCTGAAAGAAACCACCTCACTTCCGTGAGCTTAGCATTACCTGTTCTGTCTCCCTCTCTGGAATGTGGGGAAGACTTGGCAGAACAAAATGTACCACGTGCTACAGAGATGTGAGAAATTCCTGTCTGACTCCTAGGCTAGTCCCAGCAGGCCACTGCAGGGCCACTTAGTTTCTCTGCTGCAAAGTAAGGTGGCAGAAAAGGGCCTGTCACAGGCCTGGTTCCTGGTCAGGCCCTGCGTGGATTTCCAGGCTCATCCTGTGTGCCAATGAGATAATATTAACCTGTTGAGGTGAAAGCACCTTGACAAGTGTAGGTCCGGGTGAGACCTGAATGGTTGTCGGAGACTTGGGGCCACCCCCCGGGGGTGGGGGGAACAGGCCTGGGCCCCTTTTCATTTCCAGGGGTGCGGCCCAGACCTCTGACTTTTGCTGACTGGGTGGGGCACCACAGGTACCTTTGCCGTTATCAGCATCCTGGTGGGTAACATCTGTCTGCAGCTGGCCCCAGAGTCGAAATTCCGGGTCTTCAATGATACCACCAATGAGACCTACGTGGATACAGCAGCCATGGATGCTGAGAGACTGCACGTGTCAGCAACACTGGCATGCCTGACTGCTGTCATCCAGGTGAGGGGCGCTTTCCCCACCAGAGCCCCTCGGGAGAACATCCCCCCATGCAGCCCCACCTCAAGTTTTTTTTATTTTTAATTCACTTATTTATGTATACAAGAACTGGGGTACAGGTCAGAGGTACGGGGAATGACAGGATTCACTAGAGACAGAGTGGGGAACAGGTCAAGTGGATTGAAATATACTGAAATATACTGCTGAGGGGAGCAGTGGGCGAGACAGGAGAGGTCTGCTGTCTGGCCAGAAATGGAACTCATGCCGCAGTAGCTGCGAAGAGCTTCTTAGTGCTGTGACTCAACACCTTGCACCTCCAGTGAGGTCCCCACCTCAAATGTTGACACTAAAGCTGATGCAGGCCCTGACCTCTGCCCTCTCCCCCATTCCAGAGCCACAAAGCGCTCTAAAGATCAGTGTTTCTCCTCACCTGTCCCTGGCAGCACAAGAGTGGCATCTGTGGCCAATTAAACTGTCCTGAGATGACCTGAAAGACTCCTTTGGCCCTGCTACCTGGCAGGCCTGTGTACAGGCCTCTGGTTCCCTCACATCCTATCCCTGCAGGCTCCTCTGCTCCAGGCTTCCACAGGAGCAACCACCCAGGTGCCCTGGCCCTGGTGGGGAGGACCCTGCTAGGTTTCAGGGCAGGGTCGGGATGCTGGAGCAGGAAGCCGCCTCACTGAGTACCTTCCGGGCATTTGTCATGCATTTTGTGGCTTTGGGTTGTTTCATTGTGCCAGAAACAAGGCTAGGCCCTGGGGATAAAAGATAAGTGAGTATAGAGGTCCAGTTCTCAAGCACAGGAAGTCGCCATGTCAACAGATACATTTGCAGCTGAGATAAGCACAAAATAGGGTTTGGTGCAAAGTAGCTATGAGAATGCCAAAGAGCATCAGGGAAGACCCGCCTCCAAGAGAGGAGGTGACATTCGACCTGGGTCTTAAAGGATGAGTAGAAGTTGGCCAGTCACTGAGTGAACAAGGCCCAGAAAGACAATCAGGGAGGGGGGGACAGCCCCCCAAACCACAGACGCCTAAGAGAATGTGAACTGACCAAGGAATGGCAAGGCCAGAAGTTTGATGTGGCTGGAGGATGGGGCTGTTTGAGGGATGGGCTGGAGAAGAATCTGGATTGGTTGGCAGGGGCCAGGATGAAGTCTCAGTTCTGTCCACTAAGCAGTGGCGTTGGGCCTGACTGCCCATCTCCAAAGGTCAGATGTGATGCGGGCGGGGAGGACAAAAGCAGGGTAGGGCAGCTGCTGCGGATGACACGGTGGCCCGGGCAAGAGTGATGGCGGCCTAGTTCAGGGAGGCAACTACGAGGAGAATGGTGGAGACCGGGCTGGGCAGGACATTTCACCAGATGCATTACCAGGGCTTGTTGGCGGGCTGGATGCAGGATGGTGAGTCATGTACTTCCGGTTGGCTAATGAGGTGATGTTGCCATTTACTCAGAGAGGAAACACTGGGGAAGACCAGGTTTGCTTTACTGGGGAGAAAGGTGACATGACAGAGGCCCATCCCCTCAGGAACTGAAGGTCTCCAGTGACGCAGTGAAGGCACGCAGGTCACCAGGGCCTGTTTCCCTGGAGCAGCTGCTGCCCTGGGGCTGCACGAGACACCAGTCCTGGTTCGGTCTGGCATGTCAGGGGGCTGCTAACGCCTCCTGGTCTTCTCCCCGCTCCCCTCCCCTCTCAGATGGGCCTGGGCTTCGTGCAGTTTGGCTTTGTCGCCATCTACCTGTCTGAGTCCTTCATCCGGGGCTTCATGACCGCCGCAGGCCTGCAGATCCTGATCTCAGTGCTCAAGTACATCTTCGGGCTGACCGTCCCTTCGTACACAGGCCCAGGCTCCATCGTGTTTGTGAGTCCAGGGGTACCCGCACCCCGAGAATGGGAAGGGGCCTGAGCAGACACATAAGCAAGGTTTGCTGTCTCCAGAAGCTGTGCGCTCCTGTTTGGGAAAATCTCTCAAGCAAGGCGGCCTGTCGTTCACGGAAGTCCCGGCCTAGGGAGGGAAGATCAAAAACACAAGCTGTGGGGAGCTGATAGTCTCTGTGTTCATCCCTTTAGACTCTAGAACACTCTAGAACAACCCCCACGCCCCACCCCATCCCTCAACCCCTTCTTCCCAGGAAACTCTCCCTTCTGTCCAATCTCCATCCTTCTCCCTTCAGTTTGAACTCTAGAGAAAGAGAGGAAACTGCTACCCTCACCCCAGCACAAGCACCCAGCCTGGTGCCCAGCAGTGCACTCTGAAAGCTGCCTTGGCACTCCATTGGGCCTCCCTGCACTGACCACATACCCTAGGGCGAGGGCGGCACAGAAAGAGGGGGGCACCATGGCGTGATGCTCTCTCCTCCAGACCTTCATTGACATATGCAAAAACCTGCCGCACACCAACATTGCCTCGCTCGTCTTCGCCCTCATCAGCGGTGCTGTCCTGGTGCTGGTGAAGGAGCTCAATGCCCGCTACATGCACAAGATCCGCTTCCCCATCCCCACGGAGATGATTGTGGTGAGGCCTGGTGCTGGGGCCCCAGTGGAGAAGCCATGGGAAAAAGGAATCCAGCTCTGTAGAAGGGATCGTGCTTAGTGAAACAAGCCAGAAGGAAAAGGAAAAATACCAGATGGTTTCACTCATGGCAGGAGTATAAAGGACCAGGCGGGAAAATAATAATAATAATGCACAACTATATACCAGAGACATTTTACGGGGGTGGAGTGGGGAATGGGATCAAAAATGGGAGGGGTGGGTGGAAGTACACTGGACTATGGTGATGGCACACGAGTGAATTGGTGGTGGAAAGTCCACAGAGATTACAACTGAGATGGGAAAAGGCACAAAATGATGTAAAAATAAACTATTATATTATTTAAAAAAAAAAAGGAATCCAGCTCTAGTCAAGGCCACGGGAGGCCTATACGCTCCCCACCTCGCTGGCAGGCAGAGGAACAGGAAGCTGGGGGTGAATCCATTCCACCACCACCCCCACCCTCTGTGTGACTCCCATTCTTCCTGCTTCTTGGCTTGTGGCCTCAGGGAAGCAGGGAAGTAGGATTTGGGGTATGCAGAGAAAAGGGAGGCTGAGGAGAGACCCCTGTGGGGACCCCAGCTTAAAGCCCATTCCTATTCTCCACGCTGGCATTTGCAGGTGGTGGTGGCAACAGCTATCTCTGGGAGCTGTAACATGCCCCAAGTGTATCACATGCAGATCGTAGGAGAGATCCAGCATGGGTGAGTCCAGAGGCCAGAAACCAGGCCCGGGCCCACCACACCCTCACCAAGCCGGGGCTCAGAGGCTGGGATGCGATGACCCTGCGAGCGCATTGCCAACCAGGGGACCCTGATCTCTCAGCAAGGGTTGCCGTTGCTCCCTGTGGAGAGAGCCATGGGCGACCAGGGCTGGCTGCTTTACTACATCGGAGCCTTAGGGGCCACCCTGCCCCATGGCCTGCCTCATTCAATGGGCTCTGTTAAATGAAAGGGGGGTGTCCCGTGGGTGTGTGGACTTCCCAGGATCTGGGAGCAAGCAAACAGTGCCCTGCTGCTTTCCGGCCTCCGTGCTTGCACAGGTGTGGCCTCTAGATCTCTGCTCTAGAGCAACAGTGGCTGCCCCATCTTTGAACAAGGATTCAGCTCAGAGCGGTCTCCCCTGAGGACCGCCGCACACGGTGGTGCCCAGCGGACCCTGCGGGTGGGTGAAGGACTCGGGCCCTCCCTCTCCTCACACCCTTGGGCCCAGTCTCCTCTGCTCCTTGGCAGGTTCCCCGCTCCGGTGCTGCCTGTGGTCTCGCAGTGGCAGGACATGGTCGGCACGGCCTTCTCCCTGGCCATCGTAGGCTACGTCATCAACCTGGCCATGGGCCGCACACTGGCCAACAAGCATGGCTATGACGTGGATTCCAACCAGGTAGGCCCGGCCAGCACGGCAGGGCTGAGCAAGATGGTCAGGACACGTCCCTCCCTGGTGGCACAACGGGTTAAGACTCAGCGTTATGATGCTCTCTGCAGCCACTGAGTTCGAACCCCAGCCAGAGTGACGACCGACATGGCTGGGCTGACCTCTCCTGACCTGCCCGCTGCTCCCCTCAGCAGTGTACTTCAGTACATCTGCTTGTCCTGCTCCCCACTCTGTCTCTGGTGAATCCTCTCACCCCCTGTTCCTCTGGCCTGCACCCCAATTCTTTTACACATAAATATGTAAATCTTTATTTAAAAAAGAAAAGATGGTCAGGACCAACAGAAGCCTGGCAGGAAGCACCTTGGGATCTTGGCCTGAGCAGTAGGGTGCTGGTGGGAGGTGGGTGGGTCTCTCACCCCAAGATATGACCTCTGATCAGGAGTGCATGGATTTATAGTAGTGGGGTCACTTTCAGGCCCTAGGCTCAACATCCAGGCTGTCTGGCCAAGCATGCTTGGTTAGGACACTGCTGCGCCCCATGCACCCCGGCTTCTATCCTGCCCTGTCCCATAGGAGATGATCGCCCTGGGCTGCAGCAACTTCTTTGGCTCCTTCTTTAAAATCCATGTCATCTGCTGTGCTCTCTCTGTCACTCTGGCTGTGGATGGAGCTGGAGGAAAATCCCAGGTGAGCCCTGTTCTACGGGGGGGGGGGGGGGGGGGGGGTTTAAACAGAATGCACCCCTGGGAGCCAGGCCAGCGCTCCAAGCTCCCCCTCTGCTCCCTAGTATCCACTCTGCCAAGATCTCACACCTGCTCCCATCCCCAACTCTGTCTGAACAGGTGGCAAGCCTGTGTGTGTCCCTGGTGGTGATGATCACCATGCTGGTCCTGGGCTCCTATCTGTACCCACTCCCCAAGGTAAGAGCACCGTGGGAGCAGAAGCCAGCGAGTGTCCAGAGAGAACAATCCCTAAGCATGTGTGGCTCTTTGCAAATGACACAGTACCGCTGTCCCTGTCTCACTCAATCCTAATCATGACCGGTGAAGCAGATCACGTAGGTGTTATTTCCCCCATTTTACAAATGAAGGAAACTGAGGCGGAGAGTCTGAGTGATCTGTGCACAGGGCAGGCTCCCAGACACCAGCCCAGCCGAGCCCATTCTCCAGTCAGCACTTACCTGTGCCTGGGGGCTGCTGGGGAGCTAAGAGTGGGAGAGGCATTAACAGAGGCTATTTAGGGAGAAGGGACCAGGAAAGGACAAAGATGGGGCCAGGATGGGTCCCCCCTCAGGACCTGCCTCTCTGAACCTAAGGCTGGGTGCTGAGATTTGGGGGCTCTGCTGGGGAAGGTGGACAGAGCCCCAGCTCCACTCTGCCAGGCTCCAGGGTCAGATGCTGTGGGAGGGCAAGAACAAGGGGACACCCAGAGGCAAGAAACCGGGTCTGCTTCCCCAGTCTGTGCTAGGGGCCCTGATAGCCGTCAACCTCAAAAACTCCCTCAAGCAACTGGCCGACCCTTACTACCTATGGCGGAAGAGCAAGCTGGACTGTGTAAGTACTGGGTGGCCCCTGGGTACCCCCAGGCTCCTGCCTCCCCCAATCCCACAGCAACTTCACTTGTCATTTCTGCCGTCAGCAACTCCCCCTGCTCCCTAATTAGCACAGCCCAGTGTTAAGAGCCCAGAGTTTAGAATGAGGCATCCGATGCTCAAACCCCAACTCCAGTGCACTGACCCGGGGTCCAAAGCAAGCCCCTTCACTACCCCAAGTCTCAGCTTCCTCATCTGTGCAAAGGGGAGTTTGACTCTCTGCCCCCCGGGGTTGCCTAGGAAAAAGAACTGAGATAATGCGGGTGAGCAGGAATGTCTGGATTGTATTTTCTGGTCAACAAAATCAGGTTAGTATTGTTTTTGTGATTAAGAGTTGAAAAAAAAAAAGCATCTTTCAACCACAAACAAAACCTTAAAGCATAAAGCCAGCAGACCAGAGCCTTGAGTAAGTCACCAGGCTTCGGGGGGCTGCACCTCATCTGTCCCAGAGTGGGGGGTGGCCGCTGCGTCACACACTGGCGTTGAGGATTAGGTGAGACCAGAATGGGAAACCACCACGGGGCCGTAACATGCCGCGCAGACCTGACTTACCGTAACCATTAGTCACATCCTCGCCGCATCTGCCACCGGACAACAATAATAGGTCACCTCAGGTTGACAACGCTGTTTACCCCCATTAAGCTCTGCCTCCATCTAGGAGACAGGGCGTCCTGACCTGCTCTTGAGATGGTGAAAGAGGCTCAGAGAGGTTAAGCAACTCAGCCGAGACCCTGCAGGCAGTAAGTGGAAGTCTGCTTTGGAACCTCGAGGCTTAGACTCCACACCTTGGGCTCTTGGGAAAGCACACCCATGTGTGCGGGGAAGGACATCCTGAACCCCAAGAATGAGCAGCATACCTGCAATCCCCTGTGAATGAGCGTGAGGAAACGGAGAACGAAGACGCAGCTCCCAGGCTAGAGATCCACTCCCCCACGTCCCCCATGGCCCCCTGGCCCGGGGCAACAGTCCCTGGCTCTGAAACTGTGCTCTGGGTTCTGATCTGATCATCACGATTCTCTTCAGGGACACAGGGATTCCTCCCCTGAGAGGGATCTGGGGGTCTCTAAAGGGCCTAGGGGCACCTAAGGTATCTAGTCCAACCCTTAGCCAAGCTCCTCATGGACAGGCCATGGAGTAGAGGAGAATTGTGTCAGGGTGAAGACTCTCACCTGGGCACCCACAGGTCTGTCACTAGGCTGGGGCCATCATATTCTTTAGCTCCGTAATCCTTTCAGGAAACAGGGATTGTTATCCCCCCCCCCCCTTTTGAATTAGGCAACAAAGCTTACTTAACCCATCACCAAGAGAATGAAACTTGAAACTCAGAAACATCTGACATAGACTCTTCTTGTCTTTGTCATCACACTTGCCTGTGGGCTTGCCTATTAAAAACCAGACAAGATCAAGGAACCAATTAGAAGGAATTCAGGGGAAATGAGCAAGTGTATCCAAAGTACAAATGCATGAAATAATGAAAAACGTGGTGAAAAAGAAAGGGTGTGTGTGAGGTTGTGCTAGCAGAGAATGGCCTTGGTTAATCCAGGAAGACTTCCTGAAAGAGGCAGTTTTCTCCCCAGGACTGTTTTGATATCTCTCTCCTCATAGTGCATCTGGGTGGTGAGCTTCCTCGCCTCCTTCTTTCTGAGCTTGCCGTATGGTGTGGCCGTGGGTGTCGCCTTCTCCGTCCTGGTTGTCGTCTTCCAGACCCAGTTGTAAGTAACAGCCCCTCCCCCCAAGGTACAGCAGTGGGGTCCCTGGGTCAGGTTGCCAAAAGCTCCGTGCCAAGGCTCAGCTCTACTGCCTTCTAGGTCTAAGGGACTCTGAACCAGCCAAAGCTGGTTCTTACATCCTGAAAACCCCCCAGGAAGCCTGTCATGGTCTAGAGGGCTAGGGGCCAGGGAAAGTAGGAGAGCAGATGGATAAAACTCAGCAAACTGTCAAGGCACTGTCAGACCCCAGACTTGTTGAGACATCCCCCCATCCGGCCACCACCCCACCCACTGCTCCCCAGTAAGACTCAAGCCAAAAGACAGCTGCTGTGTCCTCCCTATAAAATTAGGATTAGAGGCCAGGGCATAGAGAGGGGGCCTACCATTTAGTTGGAAGAATGCTGATTGTGAGGGAGTCCTGCTCTCTCCTCTTGAGAACTAGACCAGGACGTGGTGACTTTGGGGCCACTGAAGCCTCTTACCCTGTGTGCTCCTGGCTGCCTGTCACCTCTCTAGTTTTAGCATGAGCACAGGCACTAGGCATGTATTCCAGGGCAGAAAGACTCACGGGATGGGGGAGGGCCTGGGCTACCCGTTCTGCCCCAGACCCCACCCCCACAGCCTCAATTGCTGTTAACTTTCGCTTACATTCTGCTTTCCCTCCCTCTGCCAGTCGCAATGGCTATGCCTTGGCCCAAGTCATGGACACCGACATTTATGTGAATCCCAAGACCTACAATAAGGTGGGTGATCCAAGTTCACGGTGCCCCTCTTTGGCCCTCCCCCACCTCAAGGAGAAGGGTTTGTGGTTGTTATTGTCGTTTTGAAGATAGTAAGTATTTTACTAACTGAGCTCAGTCTCTTCATAGGTCCACGAAATTGAGGGGATTAAGATCGTCACTTACTGCTCCCCTCTCTACTTTGCCAACTCAGAGATCTTCAGGCAAAAGGTCATTGCCAAGGTAAGACTCCACCCTCTGGGGTCTAGATGGGCTGGACAGAAAATGACCAGGAGAAGGAAGAACGGAGGCTGGGAGCCAAGAGCAGGCCACCAGCAAGAGGGTGGACGTCCAGACTGCCATCGACTCTGTCCCCACAGACAGGTGTGGACCCCCAGAAAGTACTGCTGGCCAAGCAAAAGTACCTCAAAAAGCAGGAGAAGGGGCGAATCATAGCCACCCCACAAAGGAAGTCTCTCTGCATGAAAACCAAGGTGAGAGGAGCGAGGGGCCCCTGCCCTGAGCTGCCCCCACTTCCCAGCACCTCTGAGGCAAAGACATCAGGTCTGACCACTGGGCCCTCTCCTGAGTCAGGCCTGCCAATTCCCAGCGAAGCACTGCCTCTCACCCCCCCACCTCCCATCCCGTTTTCCACAGAGATAAACTCAGAACAGCCCCAGATGGGGAGCAGCAGTGGATTTCCTGAGGTGCCCAACCATCCAGAGCCAGCATGGGGGAGTGGGTGTGGGACTTTTGGGGCCCCTCAATCACAAAACAGAGGTGCTTGTTTCCCAAAGGGCTTCTCCAGGGCTTGGCAGTGGGGGCGCGGGGGTGGTATTTCAGTGCTCTCTTGGAGGGGCCTCTTACTTGGTCTGGGTTGTGGGAGACCAAGCTTTCAGGCCCTGCCTGAGGGAGGAGCTTGACAAGAGGCCTTGCCTATAAGGTTTTCCAGGTTTCTATTCACCACTGAGTTCAGTTCTCTACCTCCCTGCCCAGCGTCAGCGCCTGCCTGACCTGTTGGCAGACCCCTGACTGCTGCCCGCCCGCCCCCCCCAGACTGTCTCCCTGCAGGAGCTCCAGCAGGACTTTGAGGGTGCCTCCCCCACCGACCCCAACAACAACCAGACTGCTAATGGTGCCAGCGTGTCCTACATCACCTTCCGCCCTGACAGTGCCCCAGCTACCCAGAGTGAGCCTCCAGCCTCTACGAAGGGCCCCAGTGATCCAGCTGACCTGCTGGCCAGTGTCCCACCCTATGTCACCTTCCACACCCTCATCCTGGACATGAGTGGGGTCAGCTTTGTGGATTTGATGGGCATCAAAGCGCTGGCCAAGGTGAGCAGAGGGAGTGCCAGCCTGCCTTCCACCCCCACACCCTCAGCCCTGTCCCTACACAACCCTTCCTTGAGGCCTTCATCTCCACAAACTGAGGAGGGAAATTCACCAACAGAGCTAAAGGCTTCTAAGGATTCTAAAGACACCCCCACCCCCTGCCCACAAGGGCAGAATGCCCTCTGCAGAGCTTGCCCAGATAGTCCAGAGGCAATCGCTGGCGGCGACGCCAAAGCTCAGGCCCACTTGTGTCGCCTCACACCCCTCTCTATCAGAGGCCTCTCACACTCCTTTCAGCCCACCAGGAAGCCGCCAAGGGTCCTCTGAGCCTGTCACGCTTGGCCCTGCTTCCTGTCTGCTGCTCCTTCCCTCTCACCTAGACACTACCTGGCATCAGCTAGTTCTGGCCAACCCCGAGAGAAAAAGAAAAAAACATCCACAGGCCAAATAGGCCTCCTCCCCCAAGACACCTTGAATAAATGTCTCTGACTGATAACCTTTCAACAGCCACCAGGATAGCAGGGAGCAGGCAAACCTCAGAGCTGGCTCAGACAGACGCAGCCCAGGAGAAGCAGGAGACAGAGGGGCATGGCGGTTGGCACCAGAGGCCAGGTGCAGAGAAGGCCCCGGAATCCAGCCTGCCTCCCTGGCCTGGACTGCCCTCTGGATGGGCTTGGCTAGGCGCCTAGCTGCTCCAGGGCTTGGTTCTCCCCACCGTCTCTGCCGGAAGCCACAAAGACAAGACAGAGGAGGGGTCTGGAAAGCGAAGCTACTGGAAGAAAAAGTCTGGGCTATGGGGGCTAAGTGCCCTCCTCGTTGGCACAGTCTCCTTCCACCCCGCTTTCCAGAGGAGCCCTGGGCCAGCACTCCAGGGAGAAGTGGTGTGCTTTGCTGCTATTTTTACCTTTGGCTGCAGTGTTCTCGGGTTGCTTGTTTGTTTGACTTCCCCTTCTGAAGTGCATTTTGTGAATCACTTTTGAGATCCACTCAGAACATTCCTTTCCTTCTGTCTCCTTCCCCAACCCTTGTAGCTGAGCTCCACTTACGGGAAGATCGGAGTGAAGGTCTATTTGGTGAACATTCATGGTAAGGGGAGAACACTGAAGACCGGTCAGGGGGTGGGGTGGACACGGGCGCGTGGGACGCTGAATCGCGAGGGCAGTCGAAGTGAGAGCACCCAGATAACCCCCCGAATGACTGCCAGCTTGTGAGAGCCTCAGACGTGAGTCAGAAGAGACCATGGTCCTGGAGACTCTCAATGACAGAGTCAGGGTAACAGAGCCGAGAAGGACAACAGATGCTGATCTGTTCCAACACTAATTTGCTGTTGTCTCCTTAACCCAATCATTTCTATCGGGGGAGTCAATTTCTACTTCTATAGAATGAAAAGTGGATTAGGTAAACTTGAGGACCTTCTCCATATCTGAAAGTTCACCCATCTAGCTAGGTAGAGACTCTGCCCACCCAGGAAACACACAAAGACGCAGTTTGTTGTTGTTGTTGTTATATTTTTATATCATTCTTCATTTTCCCATCTCAGTTGTAATTCCCACCACCAGTTCACCCGTGTGCCATCACCATAGTCCCGTGCAACTTTTCCACCCCATTTTTTAATCCCACTCCACCCCTGTAAAATGTCTCTGGTATAGTTGCTCATTGTTTTTTGTTTATTCTTTACTGCAATTGCTTTTTCCTCAACCCTCCCCCCAATCCTTGACACTCAGCTATGAATGAAACATTAGGTATTGTTCCTTTTCTTTCTGGCTTATTTCACCAAGCATGATCCCTTCCAGCTCCATTCATGTTGCTGCAAAAGGCATGCGTTTATCTTTTTGATAGCTGAGTAATATTCCATTGTCTATATGTACCACATCTTTGTAATCCAAGATGCAGTTTTTGTGTTTGTGGCCTTCAGAGGGCGCCAAACACAGCCTGGCCACACTCCAGGCAGTGGAGATTCACATCTAGGCAACTGTGCAGAGTCCAGGGACATGAAACAGCAGTGTGCACAGACAGACAGAATGAGAGGGGCACGTGCGCACACCCAGTTTCCTGGGTGTTGGGCCTTCTGGGGTCCCACCCTGCAGACCACGCTGTGTGGGCTCCCAAATTAGAACCAGTGGATTCTCCCCCCTTTACTGGGCACTCCCAGGCTCTAGCAGTAAGAGCCCCATTGCCTGTTTGAGGTTGCAGGGTAAACAGAAGTGTACACCACACAGCATAGAACTGGCAGCAGCTTCCTCAAAGACACGTTAGCCTTTCCCTCTTCATTTGCCGGGAAGTCCTGACTCCCTGAACCAAGCGGCTTCCTTCTGCGTTAGGCCGAGATCATCATCAGCAAGAGCTTGTTGCCCTCTGCTGCCCATACCTGGTATTGCAAGGCCAAGGCCCGCCAAGGGCATTCAGCCCTCACTCAGACTCCCCTCCCCTTCCCTCTTACCTCACACCCCTCCCCATCCCCTCAGCCCCCCACCCACGCCCCCACGCCCCAGCTCCAGTTTATAGGGCCGTTCTCTTTCCTCAGCTGACTTCTCCCTCCTTCCAGCCCAGGTGTACAATGACATTAGCCACGGAGGCATCTTTGCAGATGGGTCCCTGGAGCACAGCCACGTCTTCCCCAGCATCCATGATGCTGTCCTCTTTGCTCAGGCAAATGCCAGAGAAGTGGCCCCGGGATGCGACTTGCAAGGGGTAAAGGCTCTGCCCCTGAACATTCAAGGTCCCAGGGGTGAAATAGCATAGGTGGCAGGGGAGGAGGAGGGGGAGGCCTCCAGGGCCAATTCATTGACTTTACTACTGTCCACTAGTAGTTTTCTTGTCTTGGAAATGGGGACACGGAATTACCACCACTGATTGACCGCACAGGGGTGTTTTTTTTTGTTTTTTTTTTTGTCTTGGGGTTCCTCATAATTCTTTTATTTCTTTTGAAAGTGCTTTGTATATTGTAAAATATTTTCTTAATATTAATTTTCAAATCACACAGATACCAAGAGCACATTAGGTTGATCCCCATATTAGCCTTGCTGACCCTTCCTGCTCCTTCACTATTTCCGAAGGGCTTTTAGGAAAGGGAGGAAGGAAACCTGCCCGTTTAATTCAGCAGAGTTTGGGGCATTTCAGGCTGGTCATGGATGAAGAAGCTGGATCCAAGTTTTGTCTCAACTCCTTGACATTTAATTTCCTAGCTCAGTGAGTGGTGACCAGAGGGGGCACACACACACACACTGATGAAGATTCCTGAAAGCTGAAAATTGCACCCTGTTGGGGTCCCTGGCCAGTCCTCCCCAGCTACAGCTAATTTCCGACTGGTCCCCTCTCAGTTCAGCCAAGTTGGTGCCCCAGCTCTGGATTAAAACCCGCCCTGCCTCAGTGGGTAACACGGGAGGGTTTTCTGGCCTTATGCAACCATGCGCTCTTTGCTTTAAGAGATGGATGAAGTGAAGCCGAGGTTCAACGCGTGCCAGGCTGCCGGAGGATGGGGCCACCCCAAGAGGCTGTTGGGAGCAGGGCCTGTGGCTCCGTGAGCTTGTCCACAAAGCAGAGAGGGCGATGCCACAAGAGGCCTTGCCACCTGTTACTGGCCAGTTGCTCACTTATATATTTAAAATACCGCACGTTATATATAAAATAGACTATATATTTACAGGTTACAGCATATAAATTACACACACCCCTTTCAATGGCATGGTGAGGTAGAGACCACCAAAGTGTGTCTGATTGTCTTACTCTTACGGAAGAGGACAGAGGTTCCCGGAGAAGAGAAATGGCTTCCCCGAGGTCAGGCAATGGGCCAGCCAACACTGGACTCTGGGACCTCCCAGCCTCCAAATGCCCATGATGGAGAGCAGAGGCTGACAATGCTGTGCTTAAAGGGAGGAGACCACTTTGGACTGTATTTTGTGGGGCAGATGAAGGAGGAGAGTGAAGTGGGGAGAGTCAGAAAATACAGTGCCCCCGAAATCTGCCACCTGTCCCAGACTTGATCATCAGCCTCTGGAGTTCAGTCTGCACCCCTTTCTCCCTTCCAGGCTCCCCTGGACCCAGAGCTCTCCTTGTATGACTCAGAGGAGGACGGTCCTGGCTACTGGGATTTAGAGCAAGTAAGTGTGGGTGAGGCGAGGAGGGAGAAGAAGCAGGTCCCCCAAATACCCACGAGGGCTTGCTCCAAGCCAGGGCTGTCACTTCAGGAAAACAGTCTCTCTCATCTTTCTTTTAATAGCAGAGCTTAATTCTTCTCACTCCCTAACACCGTGGGGGAAGGGATCGCTGCTGGACCAAGTCCTGGAGAGCTAATAGCTATTCTTAACTCCCAGCACATCAACCACATGACCTTGGGCGAGACACTTCAGCCAATAGGCTCCGGTTCTGGTCACTGTAAATAAGGGAGACATGGGTAACCCCTGTCCCGGCTAGTAGGGTTAGTAGGGTTTACATTGGTTCTTTAATTAATTCAGTGGACATTTAGGGCTGGTGTATTGTTTCCCTGACAGTTTCAGGGTGAGCACCTAGCAGTGAACAAAACAAAAATCCCTGTCTTAGAACAGTATTCCGGAAGGGCTGAACTCGAGGGGCACAAATTCTATAGGTACACATCTTATTGCGTGTGGTCAGCCCTGAAGAGCTAAAAGTTCTGCAAGTGTGAGGGGTAAGTGTCCCCCCAGGGCACTAAGACCTGCAGCACCCTAAGTTAAAAGACCCCAGATGACTAGTTGAGAGAAATCTGGTTTTGGGTCTGTTTGCAATAACACCCGATTTAAGCCTCTCTCTGTTCCTGCTGGACTTGAGTTCCACGGGCCTCTGAAGGCCTTCTCTGGGGGTGCTGGGATGCAGGGGGATTCTAGGAAATTGAGCAGGAACCACAGAGATTTAGCAGCTGATTTCTGTGCCCTTCCTGTGGAATCTCTAGCACATTCCAAAAAGCCTGGAGCGTCTAGACCTCAGTGGTTCATGAGCACAAGCTCAGGCTTGAACACTTTTCCACAGACCAACGGAGCACCAGAAGTGACTCAAAATTAGACCCCAGGTGTTTTCTCCTATCATCTTTGCAGCGGTTCATGTCTTAGGCTGCCTCTCACCGCTGACACTGTGCGCACACACACACACACACACACACACACACACACACACACGTGTACGCACACTCACGGTGCCTCTTCACAGCATTGGCACCTGATGGCCTTGGCCACCCTGCAGCTGCAGGTCCAGGCTCCCTTCCCCTCCCTTTCTTCCCTGCAGGAGATGTTCGGGAGCATGTTTCACGCAGAAACACTGACCGCCCTCTGAGGGCCCAGCCGGTTGCTATGCTGCCTTCAGTGTGCTGGACACTGGGGACTTCCTTAAGGATGCGCCTGGGGTCGCAGAGTGGCGGGTCAAGCAGAACACCTCCGTATGCTTTGATCCTCTCTGTTCTCCACTTCCTCTCGTCTCCCTCCCTCCCGCCTTCCTGCCTGTAGGGTGGGCCAGCCTCAGCCTCAGGAGGACACACATCCTCCCCATTCCCGGACCTCAGGGCCCCACCACAATGAGCAAGCCTCTGCTCTCCTGCCACACACCACAGGCTCTGCCCATGTGCATGGACGGGACCCTGACGTCCAGGCTTTAGCAGTGAGCCGAGAACACAGGGAAGGCCCAGCTGTGCTCACCTAGGCTTGCCTGGCAGTGCTAGGTAGTGCCGAACTGTAACAGGACACGAGGAACAACATGCATAGGGCTTGGTGGCTTCCCCTCCAGCTTCCCAACTCCACCTATGATGGTTCTGCACCTGCCAACACAGGAATCTCTATCTTGGCGGCTGTGGCCCATTCCCCGTCATCCGGGGTACTAGGACCTCCATGGCTAGTCAGCACACCACACTAGCTGGAGGAGTGGCTAGGACTCCCAAGGCCACCAAGCTACCTCCCCAGGGCAGCCCCCCAAGGTAGCCACCCCACCGCCTAAAGCAATGTCATCCCCCCACCCTCAGGGGCTGCTCTCTTCCACTTGAGACTGAGGATGAACCCAAAGGAGACAGGAGAGGCAGGCAGAATCCTCTGGCAACATAGCAATAAATACTGGTTATTATGCACAAGAACTTTCAGAAATGCCAACCCAGGGCAAATGAGTGGGGCCTGACCCGACAACTCCCCTGTTCTCAAAGCACCACACCACCACCACCAACAACCCCCCCCCCCATGGAAATCTGCCTTGTCTTTCTTCACTTACAAAAAGCCAATGATTTTAACTCTCCTTTATCAGTTTGTGGCCTGAATCTTTCCCCCAGGTAAGGGAAGAAGCCCGCAAGGACTAACAGTAACCCCTAAGTGGGTGCAGAATGTAGAGAAGGTTTGATCCAAATTGGGTCTGCTTCCATGAGGTTTCCTTACCAAACTCAGAACCTAGGCCACCTTCTCCTAGAAAAGGTGAGAAGAGGGTGTGTGTTCTCCATGTATATAAGGAGAAATCCTACTGTTCACTTGAAAATAAATATGTTCCATGTGCAAGTATTCTGGGAAATTTCCATGGAAATGCACAGAAAATTTACTGGCCTTTCCCCATTACCTCTCCTAAGCTCCTTCAACTTCATGACCCCTGCCCAACAGGTTGGGCTGGCCCAGCCTGGGAAAAATGTCCCAATTCCTAACTTTAGCCCAACCTGCATTGTGTGTCTGTGTGCTGAGCGAGCGGTCAGCTAGCTGGGCTTCTTAGAGTTAAAGGAGACGGTGCTGGACAAAAGCCAACAGATTCTTGGCCTACAAGTATTGCTTCTCTGTGAATTCATTATGCCATCTGGCTGCCAGTGGAACTCAAAACTTGGAAGATGGACGACTGTCTGCGATTCACCATGCCCGGCACCCAACGTGCCAAATTCCAGCAAGACAAGAACTTTAGCCAATGACAATTCACCTTCCCCTACTCCACCTCCTTCCGATGTCCAGCTCAGGCCCAGGAGGTAGGGGAAGGTCACATAGCCCCAGGATATCCCAAGTCAGAGGTCACCTTTGAGCCAAAAGTCTAGACCCTTTAAGGACTTGATGATGTGACTCAAGGGAGGTGCTGAGTCACAATGGCCTGCAGGTGGTGTTCCAGGAGGGGTCCTGGAACTTGTGTAAGGAATTAGGTCCTCCCAGAATCCACAGAGTAGCTAACACTGGGAACACATGGGTGAAGGAAGACAATGAAGGAAACTTCACTGCTGGGAAATTTTTGGAAAGAACACAAATTCACAGAGACTTCATTCTGGAATGAAGGAATGAGGGAGGGAAGGGGAGAAAGGTAGTGACATAATCCAGAATTTCAATATTTTTGAATGTTCTTAGTGATGCTGACCTGTGAGGATGAGATCCTGGGGATGGCTGGGACGCTTGAGATATTTGTGTAATTTATTTAATTTAAAAACCATTCTCCTTGTTTGTTTTGTTAATAAAGTGGTTTTGAAATGTGAACAAATCATGTGTTGGGGTGATTTTACGAAGAGGCCAGACAAGCGAACTTCAGGAAAAGCTGGCCCTGTCTTACACTAACTTGGGGAAAGAGATAAGGAGTTGGGACTTCTCTGTGGGTCTCCCAGCTCCTCTCCAAGTCCTGGTTCCCTATCCTGGGAATGGATAAGCTTCCATGATCCAGCTGAAGAACAGAGGTTAGAGAGAGAAGATGGGACTAAGAGCCAATCTGATTTTCTTGGCTATCAGCAAAAACGAAATCCGTTGTGTCTTCTGTATATACTTCTTAAGCTGGTTCTTCAGCATTCGTGGGATGCCTGTTGAGGATCGATATCAATTCTCAGCAAATCTTTCAGAACCCACAACTCCCCCTCACCCCCACATTTGTAAGATAAAGCAAAGCAAGTGGAGGCCACAGAAGTCAAGTGTCCCACAAATGAGGTTGACCCCCAACTTTGTTCATTCACAGGAAATAGAAGGAATAAAAAATCACGGAAAAACAAGTGCAAATCTATGAAGGAGACAGACATGTTTGAATTGGGAAGAGATGAAAAAAGACAAAGTAAAAGGGAAGTGAAGTAAATGTTTACCAGGGTAGAGATCCATGGAGGCAAAGAGACTGGGAGAGCTAGAAAAGGGAGACATGGGTGAGGGGATTTTGCGTTGGCAGCACAGTGCTCCCAGACGGGAGTAGTGGAGCAGCTGTGGGATGCAAGATGATGCCAAGCAGGATCCTGGCTTTTTAATTGATAGAATAATTATACAGCATCAGTTATGAGGGGAAGGAGGACAAGAGAAAAGGGAGGGGTGAGGCAAGACAATGTGCTCTTCATCTATGGTATCAGGGCTGTGAGTCTGCCCTCCAAGTGCTTCTCATCTGCGTGGTGACTCGGTATTGTAATTAAGATCAAAGCCTAAATCCCCAGCCTGAGTTTCAATCCATTCACTGATCAGCTTCTGGAGTCCCTTGCCATACATTGGTCCTTGGTGCCCCCCAGGCTTTCTTAGTCATATCTTATGTTGTATAAATTGAGAGTAAGTTATGTACTGGTCATCAGCCCTCTGGGCGTTGCTGGTCATATCTTGTGATTGCATACCCTTCCCGGGGTGATCAAGGGTTTCTGCTTTTGAGTGATTTGAAAGGCATCTTGTAAAGTTTAGCTATGACTGATTGACCGGGTAGTTCTGACCTTGTGTAGGAACTGCAGGTAACAAAATGGTGGCAGAACAGGTTGCTTCGGAATAGCAGATTTGATGCAGAGTAGTTCTCGAAGTGTCCCAGGCTGTGGCACCAAAGAAGTTCCCCCAAGCAAGAAGAAGGAGCACTATACTGCTCCAGGGAAGGGCAAGGAGATAAGACTACTCAGAACTGTTTTGGTTAGCTAAACTAGCTACGCTAACAAAAGCTATCCAGCAGAGGCTTAGTAGGAGAAATTTTGAGGGCATCTAACTCTGATGCATTTCTTTTCATCTTTAATATCTATTTCAGGTCCTCCCTGGTGGCACAATGGGTTAGAGCACAGCACTAGGAAGCTATCCCCAGCCACTTCAACACAAGTTCGATTCCTACCCAGGGAGGTGACACACAGGGCACAGCAGACCTCTCCTGACCCGCCCCCTGCTCCCCTCAGCAGTGGATTTCAGTCCATCTGCCTATTTTGTTCCCCACTCTGTCTCTGGTGAAATCTGTCCCTGGTGAATCCTTTCACTGCCCCTTCCCTCCTCACCCCATCTCTGGTCTCTACCCCAGTTCTTGTATGTATAAATAAATAAATGAATGAATGAATAAGTAATGAATAAGTAAATAAGTAAGTAAGTAAGTAATCTATTTACCTTAGTTGTAAAATTATAACTTGGCTTTTTCAGTCTTTTGGAGAAGTGCCAAAATACCAGCTCACCATTATAATGTTGTTGTTGTTGTTGTTGTTGTTGTCATTATTTTCTCCCATGGTTGTACTGGGGTATTTTAAAAACTGAATTTCTAAAACATGATCTCTGGCACCAATCCTTTCTAAAAGGAACAAATACTTCTCAGAGAAATGACTTGATTTCAGTACCAGGGTATGGTCCATACAAAATGAGGTCTGGAATAACTTGATATACCAGAAAACAAAGAATTGCTCAAAAAATGAAGGGGCATGTCACAAGATCACAGAAATCAGACTAGATCAGCAGCCACCAGTGTAATGGAGGACAATTTGAGTACCAAATTGATTAAATACAATGATGTTTTTCAGCCATTACAAATAAGAATTGAGTTCATACCAATGATGAAAAATAGATAGACAGGCAGACAATCTCTAACTATAAAGCCAAAAAATTACAAATCATCTATAAGAAAAAATGGGGGGAACTATGATGATACAGAGACTAAACAATATTCTGCTTAATAGCTATTGGAGAAAAGAAAATAGCAAAGAACAAATTAAAAAATATTTTGAACTGAACAAAAATGATGAGACAAGCTACCAGAATCTATGAATTGCAGGGAAAGTGGTCTTATGGGGGAAGATAATGCAATAAGGCCAACATTAAGCAACATAATTCCAAATAAGCAACCTAATATCATACATAATTCCAGTTGAAAAAGAGGAACAAACAAGGAAATGAAATAATAAAAATAAGGGAAGAGATAAGTAAAGTAGGCATCAAAAATACTATACCAAAAATAAATCTATGAAACTAAGAACTAGGTTTTTTTGAAAAGAAAATCTTTGAAAAGATAAGCAAAATAGCTATCTAACCAAAAGAAGAAAACATTAATAAACACAATCAGAAGTGAAAGAGGAGAAATCACCACAAATAGCAGAGAAATGCAAAGGATCATTAGAAATTATTATAAATGATTAAAAATTTCTAACAAAA